TTCTTACAACGAAGAAGTAAAATTATTGTAACAAAAATTATAAATTTTGACCATGAGTTCTAAATTTGTACATTTTATTATGTTAATATATAGTTTTTGTTTGTTGTGTAACTTTTGTACATTTGAAAATTAAAAAATTTATAAATTTAAAAGTTTTGTTTTTACGAATCAAAAACGCATCTAAAGCACAACTAAAGTGCACCCAAAGTGCATCCAAAGCGCATTTAAAGCGCACCCAAAGCGCATCTAAAGCGCACCCAAAGCGCATCCAAAGAGCATCTAAAGCACATCCAAAGCGCATTCAAAGGACATCCACAGCGCATCCAAAGCACATCTATGGCACACCCAAGGCACATTTATAACGCATCTGAAGCACAATTAAAGCTCACCTACAGAGCATTTTAAATTACAAGTAATTAATGAAACATTCTTACAATAACTATTACAAATAAAAAATCTTTATTTAAATTTAATACTTGTTACACCCATAAACATTCTTTATAAGTCAACCACCCAAGGATGATGTTGGTTCTTATTCTCTATATAGTTGACTAGAAACTTTGAAGAATCAGTCGAGACGAAGTCTATACTTATTTCTCCCACAGCCAGTATAAATTCTTCCTCATAAAATGAATATAGTTTTCTTGAGTAAAATCGAGCAGCTTGTTTTAATATTGAGCTGTTCTTTATCACAAGAACAGTTTCAGACTGATTGCATTTATACTCCTCATCCTGCTCATTTCGCCGCCAATTCATCAATACCTTTTTCCAACCTAATAAAATAATCAGTTAATGAACTTGCTGGCTTCGAAATGCCATGACACACATTATTAGTATACTCGCTACGCTGCGTTAATAAAATTCTCATGCTAAAATAATCATTGTTGAAAGCTATTAACCATTTTCTCCTTATCTTATAAAGATCCTGCAACCATTCATAGTTATGAAGGTTCCCTTCCTTGATCATTTCAGCCCATGCCTTCTCAAACACTTCCTCAGAATCACATCACCTCATACACTTATAGAAGAGTCCTTTAGCTTTATTATTGCTATTGAAGATAGGAACTTTTGATGAAACCTTTTTTAAAGATGTGCCATTGACATAATCTATGACGAGTGTGAGGTAACGCATCTTCTATGGCCCTTGCTATAGCTTGGTCATGATCAGTGAATATTATTGTTGGATATTTATTACCCATTATTCATACATATATTTTAAATAATCATGTAAAACTTTCAATTATTTCTTCTAACAAAAAAACAACCCCTTACAAATTATTCTGCCAATGATTGCTAACTCCAACAAATGGTGCACATATAAAATTGTACTTGTTGAGCCTGTAGCTAGTATCAAAAATCAATACATCTCCAAAACATTCATAATCTATCCTGCCTCTGCTATCAACCTAAAAAAAATTTAATAATCTATCATGCTCATCATATTGAACATCCCATGTGAACATGTGGTCCTCAACTTGTCGATCTTTAAATAATTGAATAAAAAAATTAGTGTCACCAAATTCAATCCTTGCTCTTTTCTCCTTTTGAATAAAATTGTAGGCATCCCTCTTAGAGAATCTAACATTCTCACATCCTCCAACTTCCTTTGCAAGTTAGGCATATGTATCAACGGTTCTAATCCCTGCATTTGTCATTGATTTTACGACGGAAGCTTTTTCCTCAACAATATTCCTACATGATCTCAGAAGGTGTCGGTCGGCTGGGCTAGCTAATTCATGATTGTGGGATTCAATAAATCTTTTGACATGTCAGTAACCATCTTCATCAACTGCAAACCTCACATTGGATGAACAACCCGTTCTAACATTTGGTTTAGTAAATCTCTTTCTTGAATTAAGATCAATACTTTTCTTGAAACCAGCTTTTGAACAGACAAAGTCCTTGGATTTTACTTTCCTATAATTTGGCCAGAAACTATGATGATCCTTCCGGATGCTAAAGCCATTATCATGGGCATAAGTAAAATAACATTCATATGCTTCTCTCTCATCTTTATAAACAGCATGAAATGAAAAGAAAAAAAATTAAAAGCACAACTAAAGCGCAAGTAAAACGCAGTTAAAGTGCAACTAAAGCGCAGGTAAAGCGTAAATAAAGCGCATGTAAAATACAAGTTTTGTTCATCATGTTTTCTTTAACAATCCTTAAAACAATGATGTTCTTCTTCCTAAAAATAATAATGAAAGCTAAACAACAACATCTAAGAGCTTTTTTTTACTTTTCCTCCAAAACAATGATGTTCTTCTTTCTAAAAACACTAATGGGAACTAAATAGCAGCGTCTAAGATCCTAAGCCTCTAATGACCTGAAACCTATGTCCTTTTTCTACACAGCACTGCTTTGTTTACAACTTTCTAGCTCGTTTTTCCATTATACAACTTGTGATGAGATTGAAACTTACCGATATGTTGAAACTTGAGGAATTTCCAGCTAAGTTAGCTTCCGATTCATGCACCCCTTCCGATTCATGCATCCCTTCTGATTCATGCACCCCTTCCACCTCTCTCTTCCGTGAGCATTCCATCTCTTGTTTGCAATTTTCTAGCTTGTTTTTTCCTCTAAAGCAATAAACATTTAGATCTTTCACTGTTTTCTAAAATAGCGGCAATGTTTAAAATGAAAATAAAGTGGATTGGGTCGGGTCGATCGGGCTGAAATATATTAAAGCAAAAAGATTATATTAAAAAAATCGCACTTGTATTCAGCCAGATGTCAAATTCCTATTGGTGTCCGAACGCGGAGATAGGTCCGGTGATCGGACCTAATAATTTGCCCAGTTGTAGGTGCCTTTTTTACTCCTGTTCTCTTCTTTTCTCTTTTTCTCGATTTCCCCCATCTCCCTCTTTCAATCTTAATTTATGAGGAGGCTAAAGGCAAAACCCATTCGTCTTCTCCGTTATTAATCAACAGACTGTTTCGTTTTCCTAGCGTCTCGAAACATTAGCTTTTATTAGAATGGAAAGACAAAATCAATGAAATCAAAAAGCTCATTTTTGAGTGTTCCTCAAATCAAATGACAAAAATGGCTTCTACTCAAATCAATCGAACGGTTGTGATGCCGAGCCTTTTTACTCGGTCTTCTTCTTCTTCTTCTTCTTCATTCACTCGGTCTTCATGTACGAAAACAAACCCCAATCGATGAACTGTCTTCTATGACTTCATGGCTCTAAGGGACCGAAACGAGCTCTTCTATTCGCTTTATGTTCTTCATCTTCTTCGCCTCCTTCGACTTCGTCACGCAACGGGACCCCATGTATGGGATATTACATGACTATTGGAGGAGTCGGGAGCTGATGTATAGAAAGGAAGGTGAGGTTTTTATATTTTTTAAAAATTGGTTAATATAAATTGTCGAGACCCTAGATTATTTTATTTAGACTTTAAAGATATATATATATATATATATATATATATATATGAGAGAGAGAGCAGTTAATATAATACAAAATAATTATTTAAGAACTTAGTTAAAAAAGGATAAATTAGTTAAATGATGCTAAGTAATAAATTAGATTTATGAGGAAAATTTTTAATACTTGAGTAAAAAAATTTTGAGTTAGAAATAATTTATAAATTATGATGGTGAGAACATCTTATATGTAATTATAGAGGTGCCAAACTGACGACGACAGAGTAATGATTAAAACGAACTGTCAAGGCATCTAATTTCGAGGTGAGTATTCATGTTCATAAGTTATGATAATGGTGTTGCTTCTTGAAATTGCATTTAATTGCTTATCATTATTATAAATTATTTATGTGTTATCTCTATTAAATATAATCGATCATATTTAGCTTGATGACATTACTTATGTAAATTTGGCACAATTTATATATTTCTTATTATGAAATGATATAGAAAATATACATAAAGTTATTAAGTAGAAATATTTGCATGTGCATGATTGAATGATGGAGCTCAATTCTTTTGAGACTAACTGAGGATGCAATATACTTGTGCGCATAAATGAAAAACGTTTAAAAAAAGAAAAAAAAAATACCTTAATGGATATTATTTAGATGGTATCTCATGTGACAGTTTTATTTTTTATATAAATGGTGAAGATATGATATATGTGTCATATATAAATATGCATAACATTGATGGTCATTTTCAAAAGAAATTTTAAATAGAATTACTTTATATTTTGTAATGAGCATGCTTATTATTCAAAATGTCTTGTATAACTATAATGTAGAAATATGATGTGCTCATAGATGCGATGCTCCGAAAGAAATATATTTATAGAATTTAATTTAAAATACATTTGAGTTTTTAGGTGAAAATAGTTAGTAGATGATATTTTAAATTACTGTCCGTCTGTCCATTCCTTCCTTATAAATTCTAGCCTTCGGGCTAGGTCTTGACATATTCATTTCTCTAAATTAATTTTTTACTACTAAAGTAAAACAACATAGAGCCTAAAGAGTATTCTTAATCTATAGTGCATTCTTGTGATTGAAGATGTAATTAATGACATAGTGACTTATATAATATTTATTTTGCCTGTGGGAAAGTCAACCCAAAATCACTTGAATATGATAGATCTTGGCTGGGGATTTTACATCACTCATATCTGGAATTGAGAGATTTTAACTACGAATAACACAGTTATCTGAAACTGACAAATAGTTGACTTAGAGGAGGAAGAGCAAAGCTAATTTGGTTCAAATTAACACCAGATGTTTATCCGAAATAGGAATGAAATTGTTGCAGGAATACTGACCTTAAATTGTTTGAACAACAGAAATGTGAATGGTATTATTGACTTGGAAACATTTAGTGTTAAATTCTTTCCGCAATTATGATTATTTTGTTCATTACTTTACCTTGCATTAGTGTTGATATTCTACACTAAAAATGAAAAAAGAATCTTTTGGTCTGTGGAAGGAAGTGGATTTTCCTTGGTAATAAACATTGCCTCGTCTTAAGTGTGAATTCATTTTCAATAATATTGTATCACCTGTTTCTCTTGCAGATGCTGATCTATGAGTTCATGTCAAATGGCAATCTGCATGATCTCCTTTCACGTGAGTAGTAAACTACATGCTCATTTGATAAGTTGGTAATTTCATCTTTTAAAATAAAAACTTGGTACATACTTGGCAGAAGATGCCAAAGCACTTATGGTGGTAAACTTCGACGGCATTCTTGTTTTATGTCAATTTAGCCCCTTGAATATGCTTTCTTTTTGTTTTCTTATTCTAGGTGATTATTTGTCATGTTAAAATTGGTTACTGTTTTATTCAATGATTATCAAGGCTTGTTAATTAACTTGTTTTTGCTTTATTATCATATGCATCACTTTATTATTTAGTGGTCTCTGAAGTAATGTTTGTTTAGGATACAAAAGGAAGAAAAAAAATGGTTTCATCTTATTTTTTGACAAGGTTTTCCTATGCTTTCTCTAACAATCATTTTGTTCAAGCACTTCCATGATGTATTGTGAATCTGCTATAATGTTTCTTTCACAACCAGCTGACTGCCATTGTTTGATTTTGAATGATGCTGCTTCAGGTTCCCTCTATATGGGGTAAGTTTGACTAATAGTTATAATTTTGATGACACAACCATGAGATTTATGATGATTACGATGAAGGTAAAGAAAACATTAAAATATGATTTAGCGCTCTATTCCTCAGCAGCTTGTATAAAGGATCTTTCTTGCCAACAAGATTAGTTTCAGCCAGCGAGATACTATGACTAACTTCTTTAGGATGTAGGTGTAATAAAAATTGAGTGGTATAGAAGACGTCGGTTTAATTGTGTTTTCCTCTTCTATTCTACATGTTTGATTTATGGTAGTCAGAGAATATTAGGTAAATACATTAAAAAAAATACTCAATAACTTCCTTTGTGAATCCAAAAAATGTATAAGAAAGGTTGAGGTTGATGTTATATTGATGGCAATTATAAATTTTTATGCAATATTTATGAAATGAATCGAAAAACAAAACATTGATGTTGATAATGAAGCATGATCTTTCCTAAATCTGTACATGCCTGAGCCTATAAAAAATGGAAAGAGATGGAGTCTATGTTTATGGTTCACGGGGAAAACTGCTGAAATTCCATTTCACTTGATTCTTAACCATTGAGCTTGCAAAAAAAAAAAGTCAAGATTTTTGCCTTGATTGCAATCAAACAAAAATCAATTTTAAACTTGTAGTCAGGCATCACACACTGTACATGCCTGAGCCTATAAAAAATGGAAAGAGATGGAGTCTATGTTTATGGTTCACGGGGAAAACTGCTGAAATTCCATTTCACTTGATTCTTAACCATTGAGCTTGCAAAAAAAAAAGTCAAGATTTTTGCCTTGATTGCAATCAAACAAAAATCAATTTTAAACTTGTAGTCAGGCATCACACACTTAAGAAAATGTAGAATGCAGGAAATGAAACCAAAAAACACATTGACGAACGTGATGTATTTCAACCTATATCTGATACTTGGTTAGTTATGCACATCAAACTTCTTTATTTGGGAAATGTAATATGGTTGTATGAAAAAATACACTGTATTCATTGGCTTTATTAATGTTATAATTATGATCATTAGCATCATCCCAGCTATTTAAGGTTGGGTTTGTTGAATCTGCTTTCTTCATATAAAATCCACATTTGAGTAGATACATGTCATATTTGAGTCAATATAAAAGATTCCAAAATCTCAACTTCAACAAAATTCAATAAATTTTATATCATTGCGTTTTATATGACATATAGCATTATATGTCTAAATGTGAAGGATTTGAGAGTTGGGGAAATTAATCTGATGTGAAACAATCAAGAATTGCACGGGAAATTTTAAAGGAATTACAAAGTTTGCTACTTGAAGATTAAAGTTTCGTAAGGTGAGATTTAAGAGCTTTCAATTGTCAAGATTATTATGATAGGCAATTACAAGACTCGAAGCTTGGAACAATTGAAGATAAATCTGAAATTATCACAATAAAAAAAAGTGTAGTAATACAATCCCACGGTTAATATTTAGAAAATTCACTATGAGTTACCATGCTCACTCACACTCAAAGTATGGCTTAGCGGAGGAAGATTTTCAGCACACCCAACGATGCCACGAGGACGGTCACAATACCAATTGTCTTGATCCACGGAAAGGTCGATGGTGGTGGAAATGGCACGGATGGATGACCGTTGATGGTCCAATCGTAGTCCTGGAATTGATCGTCTATGACGTCCACGAGAGTGGGAAGGATGCGGTTCAAATAATCTTCAACAGTGTTGTCGGAGCCAAACCCGACGTCAAAGAACAGTGAACGGGTGATGTGGATGTCGTCGTTGACATCAAGTACCAATCCGCTATCAATTTCGAGATCGGCCATACGTCATTGAAGTGGAGGTGGGAGGGCGTTGTCTTCTTCTTCTCGTCTTCAAGCTTCCCAAGGGGGAACAAAGAGAGGGCCGGCCAAAGTGGAGAAGGGAAAGAGGAGAGGGGTCGCCGGTAGAGATGAGGGAGGCGGCTAGGGTTTGGGGAAATAGGTTAGGGTGGAGTGTGGAAGGGATTTAATCAAAATCTGTAGTTAATTTCAGATTTGAGTAAATTTGGAGGGAAGTTAATTTGAATTTGGATTTTGAATTAAGGGAATTGAATGCATTAAAATAACATTAAAGGGGATGGTATATTCTTATGTATATATAAGGTGTTCAGAGATTGGTATATTCCAGCATCCGCAATATAGGTGATGCAAGAGAGGTTTGTGAATTTGATTCAGGGATCCAAGATTGTACTTCAATATGAGGCAGAATTTGCATTTTTGTCAATATATGCTCCCATCTTATTAGTACCCCCGTGGAGAGATGCTATCAGTATTTGAAGGGTTTGAGGGATCAGTTGTGACAACCTCTTATTCCTTTGCATAACAAGGATTTTAGAATGGTGAGATAGAGATGGGAGTCAAGTCATAAGAAGACGATCTTAGACAATAAAGGAGGTCAGTTTTAGAAACACAAAATTATTCAAGGGAAGCAACAGCCGTAGCAACACAACAGATTGAGGGTTCGTGCACGATACCAACTTGTACTACATGTGGAAAACCTCATACAGGAAAATGTTGGAGGAATTCTGGACGATGCTACTTCTGTGGAGAACGCGGACATATAATGAGGAGAATGTTATATTGTCACCTTCATTGATGATTGTATTGATCTGATGTGTTTACCATTTCTATAAAGTGGAAGAACTTACTAGAAAATGAAACAGTTGATAAAATCAAGTTCTTACAATTTGATAATGATAGGGAGTGCAATTCTATAGAATTCAAAAACTACTATATCATTGATATAACTCATATGAGGTGAATGGTTTCAGGAACTCAACAAAATAGAATAGTTGAGAGAATGAATTGAACTCTTAGTGAATGTGCAAAAAACATGAGATTGCATGCAAGTCTTCCAAAATACTTCTAAGCAGATGCAATAAACACATCAAATCTGATCAATAAAAAACTATCAACTGCGCTCAACCCTTGACTTCCTGAAGAAGCTTGGATCGGAAGGGAGGTATGCTTGTTATATGTGAAGGTTTTCAATTATCTATCATATGTTTATGTTGATCAGATCATTGGAGATAAGCTTGACCCAAAATATAAGAATGGATGCTTCATTGGATATGGAGATGAATTTGACTATAGATTTTGGGATGGTGAATTTAATAAAATTCTTAGAAATAGAAGTGTTATATTCAATGAATTTGTATTATATAAAAATAAGTCAAGCACTACAATAAAAGACACCTCTATTCCAAAGCATGTTGAATTAAAGGTGAACCTGGTCTGTGCAAAGACAAGAAGCACTCAGGAAAATCATAGCCAACCTAAGCCAATACACCTATGGCCCAATTTACAAGGTCACAAAAAATCGTAACTGTATTTCTCCCTCGCTTTATTGCCTATTGCTTATTTATGTAAGAGATCTCGATTGCTATGATGATGCAATTCATGCGAAGAATTCTATCAAGTGTGAGATTGTCATGAAAGAGAATATGAAATATATTTATAAAAACAACACTTGGGTATTGACCAAGCTGCCCAAAACATGAAAAAAATGCAAAATAAATGGATCTATAAAATGAATGATGAACAGATAAAAACCTAAAGGTACAAGGCAAGGCTTATTGTAAAGGGTTTTAGCAAAAAGAAGGTATATACTTTATAGACATATTATCTTTTGTTGTTAAATTAATGATTATTCGGCTAGTGTTGAGCATTGTAGTAGCAGAAGATCTATACTTTGAATAAATGAATGTCAAGGTAGCTTTCCTTCATGATAACTTGTAGGAAGATATTTAAATGGTACAACCAAAGGTTTTTTTAAACCAAAAAATAAAGTGTTGCGTATTAGTTAAATAAAAGTTTTTATGGCTTAGAAGTTAGAACAAGTAGATTGCCAAACAACAACAACAACAACAACAACAAGCCTTTATCCCACTATATGGGGTCGGCTACATGAATCCTTTTTCTCCATTATGTCCTGTTAAAAGTCAAATTCTCGTTTAAATCTAATAAAGAAAGGTCATTCCTAATATTTTCTAACCAAGTCTTTTTAGGTCTACCCCTACCTTTCTTAACACAAGTCAAATCTAATACCTCTATTCTCCTAACCGGGTCAACGAAAGGCCGCCTTTTTATGTGACCAAACCATCTAAGGCGACTCTCTCTAATCTTATCTTCTACTGGAGCTACTCCAACCTTTTCACGTATATGCTCATTTCGTATCCTATCTCTAAGGGTAAAGCCACTCATCCACCTGAGCATCCTCATCTCTGCCACAATTAACTTAATATTAGTGCTTCTCTCCTTTCAATGGCCAAGCTCGGCAAATTCAGTCCACATAAAGGCATTGCAGGCCTCACTACCATCTATAAGTGAAATTTTCCCCTAAGTTTTGAGGGGTACTATTTCTACTCACATAAGCAGAGCGCCGATGCATTCCCTCCACTTCAACCATCCAACTTGATTCTGCTGATAACATCCCATATATCCCTCACCATCACTCTGAAACAAATAGCATCCAAAATAATCTAAAATCGTGTATTCTTATTAATGACTTGATCGCCCCAAAAGATCACCAATCCCCTCACTAAGTCTATACTACTGCTAAACTTACACTCCATATATTCCGTTTTAGATCTCAGACTTCAACGAAAACCTTCTAAGATTCTCTAAGGTTGACCTCCATAATTCAACGTTTTTCCTCAACTCCCTCTTCTACTCTTATCAACCAAGAAGACATATCCATCCAGCAAAAAGCATAAACACCAATTACAAATCCTCTTGACAAATGTCTAGTAGGAACGATCCATGACTAAAGCAAAAAGATATGGCCTTAAGGCTATGGCCTTGAATGTCACCCGTCAACCCGAGAATAGGAAATACTTGGTTCAAAACCTGACGACCTGTGTTTGAGACCACAAGTATACGCTCCTGCATACAATATCTTTAATGATTTCGAATATAACACTTCATTACTCCTTATTCTTTTTTCAAGAACTCTCCATAACGCACTTCTCTTGCAACTCTACATATGCTTTTTCAAATCAATAAATGTATATATGTAGATGCCTACCTTATCTTTCTCTATAATTTTCTCCGCATCAATACCTCTTAATAAATATAACTACTTCCATAGTCCGACCTACTGCCCTGCATTAGATCCAAAATTGGGATGTCTGAAAACATTAGATATGCACGCCGCAACTATGCTCCATAACTACTGCGTCGCGCATAGTTCTTTAAGTATGACACATTAACTTATATACCTCTATATTCGTATCATCTGGTGCATCACCTTTTTCTTAAAAATAGGAACTTAAAACACACTCATTCTCCACTCATCGTGGCAATCTTTTTTAGTCTTCAGATAATAGATAACAAAGGTTAGGTAACCCTAAGAATCCCTTTCATCTCCTCAAGCAGTTTCACACACCCTCTTATTGGAATAGTCATCAGAGTCCCAACAGCTATTTTCACCCTTCAGTTTTCATTAAAGCCTCTCTAACTATCCAAGTTACTAATACGCCGATTAAAAACAGAAATCTTTAATTTCATTTAAGGTCAAGTGCACTATCTATGTATTAAAATTGCGCAAATAATGCTCGCCTTAGGCCTTCCTTTGCGCAATCCAGTAAAAAGACGCCCATGTCTTACGCCTCAGTTTTTTATGAGCTTGCCCTCAACTGGTTGAGCCCGCCATCGATCTCACTGGCATGAGGTCTTACGCCTCATGCATATATAATCTTCGAAGCAAATGCCCGACATTGGGACTCTATACGGAAGAAGGATGGGAAGGCGGAAGAGCAGTTCATCATTAAATGATATCGAAATGAAGAACCCCTTAATGAGCCAATGCGATGATATGTAGTTCTATGAATATTCATTGCTATTTATGTTTGACAAATTGGAATTTATATATATAATGAAAAGATTACTGGGAGTTGGAAGTAGAATTTTCGAGTTTTGAATCATATTTCTGTTATGTTTATGTATGGCTATATTTGATTTCCTTCCATTCTTTCATGCTTTTATTGTTTCATATTATTCGCTCGTTAGTATATAAAAATTTTATCATTTTATGTTTAACGCAATCTTTATATTTGGGCTTACGCTCACAACGCCTTGAGGCTTACGCCTCGCCTCACAAAATGAAAAATGCCTCAGACTACCCGAATACCATTTTTAAAACGATTGGTCACTATAGTCAATCTTATTTTCACAATCTTCATTAAAAAGTTTAGCAAAATATCTCATCCATCTTTGTTGAATATCATCTTCTAAGAAAAATATTTTTTGATCTTCATCCTTTATACACTTCACTTGAATTAAATGCTTACTACTCCTACCTCTTTGTTTGGCTAACTTATACATATATCTTTCTCCCTCCTTAGTATTTAATCTATTATATAAATCACTAAAAGCTAATGTCTTTGCATTGCATATTGCTTTCTTAGAACCTTACGAGCCACTTTATATATTTCCCAATTATCATAATTTTTAAAATTAAATCAATTTTTATAACAAATCTTCTTATTTTTAATCTTTTCTTGCACAATTGGATTCCACCACCAACTATTTTTACTATTAGGAGCTTTTCCTTTGATGGGTTCATGCATAATAAAAGCTATTCGTCATTCACAAATACACATATATAGTCACCGAAAAAGATTAGTAGTTAACTTATTTAGTTGCCACTTAGTAACACTTAATTTGCTCCATAAACAACCTCGATTAATTATTACTATGATGAAATTTTACTCACCAATATTGAACTTAAATATATAGTCTATCCCTAAAAATTGACTAAATCAAAACCTAAATCTAAGATTAAAAAGACTAATAATTTAAATTAATCTCTGATTTGGAGTTAATATAATAGAAGGGAAGAAGCAAAAGTGGTCACCCAAAGCTCTCCAACATTTGATAATGATGAACCCAAGCACTAGTAGTGGCTAGGACAAAATGACAATTGTGCTTCGAAAGAAGGCGAAGGGACTGATTCCGATAAGTATTAGCAAGGGAAAGAAAGTGTTCTTGCGGTACTCGTACTAGAGAAGATAGAATGAGAGAGAAAAGTCTTGTGATCAGCTACGAAAGAAGCAACAGAGGGTTTATGATTGGAAGCTCTGGACAGGAGGCTAGGGAGAAAGGATGGTGTATTTTTCCTAGCTCCTCGTCTCCTTCATATAGAGGCGGGGAGAGTGACAAGATTTTCATGTGCAGTGATGGTAGATTGTGGGAACGTTACATGGCTAGGTCAGGGGCATGATTGGGTCCATGTTTATGGAGTTTAGGGTTGTGTCTGTTTTTATTTTGTCCTGATTCTATTCATAACATATTTTTTGTGCTTTTTATTTGTTTTGTTAGAGGATGTCCTTGGGTTTTAGGAAAGGGGGTGATGGTTTCTCATTTATATACATTTCTTGTGGCTTCTTTGATAGTGGATCAGATCCTCTCTCCTCTTATGTGTTTGGTTGAAGCAGAACAACATGAATCTTTATTTTTCTTGTGTGTTTTTCTTTCTTGATTTTTACATCTTTCTTGGTCCTTGTGATTTTTTTTGGACCCTTTGTTGATCCTTATGTTTTTTTTTTATTTGGTACCTGATTACAAGAGCCAGGATTTTATTCATGTGGGGGCACAAATCATTAAAGTAATTAAAAAACTCTCAACTATTTATTCTTACTAAATTGAATGAAAATAATATTAACAATTTGATCATAATAACAATTTATTTATTTTTCATTTAAGTAAAGTCTAAAAGAAAGCAATAGCAACATACATGTGATTGAATACAACTTTATAAGAATAAGTGTGGTAAGCCCAATTAGAATTAAAGAACACACCTTTTTTTTCAACATTCACATCATGTACATTATCGCCAATTTAACCTGGTAACCTTTTAAACATTCTTAAGATCAGAATCGAAAAGAAGCCGAGTTTTCGGTTAGAACCGATTTGAACTCAACTCTAAGTTTAACTTGCATCTTGATTCATGATTTCTACATAGGTTCTACATAAAAACTACAAGAGACATGCTAAATTTATCCATGAGAGTATCAATATAAAACTCCCCTGTAAGCCACGAACAAATAAAAAAAAGGTTCATAATCCCATAAGAAAATTAGAAGAAAAACGCCTACAGCTAAGCAGATTTAATAAAGAAATAGAAAAATTCAACCTTAATTAACGCTTCTCCAAAAGGAATTTACTCAACTAAATTCAAGTTTTCATTTTGATGGAATAACGGTTTATGATTATAGGAAATTACGGAGAAGGGCCAGATGGGAGGAGGAACAAGAGATGAGAGCAAGCACCTAGTTATGAAGGAAGCTTTGAAATTTTTGATCCCGCAAGAGCTGCTCCTTGTCTTCGACTTCACACTTCTCCTTTTGGTTTCATTTAAAGGCCGGAAGGCGTAGAAGTATACGCCCAGCGTAGGGTTACCAATTCCAGAATTTAAAAATGGAGAGAGGTATTCTTTCTTCTGAACGGTTGAGTTCCCCACGCGCGCCTGGAGTCGCAGAGTTGGAGGGAGATAGGTATGCAGATAGACGAACAGGAACAACTATTAGGATGAAAAATTAAAAAAAAAAATATTTAACCGATACTTAATGAATCATAAATAATTTTAATTACTTGCTATTTTCAAAGTCAATGGGGGCCGTGCCCCAGGGCCCCACACTAGATCCGCCGGTGGTTACAACAATAAGTATATTTAATTTGTTTTTTTTTTTGACTCTTACTATTCAAGCTAGATGGCGGCTAATTCTGTTTGATGCAGTACTAGTGAATCTTTATAAAAGACTACTATTATTTTCAAAAGGGGCGCCCCTTAATTTCTTCCTTCGATTTCTTTATTTCCATTTTATATGGTATTTTCTTGTGGCTGAATAGTTGCTAATTTAATATAGCTGGTTGATTGCATGTTTTATTAGTGTATAAAGAATTATAAAAGCACCAAACGATTGCTTGGTGTATCATCTTTCGTAAACACATACTTTAATTGAGTTACTATTCCATTTGCATTCCGCATCATTTTTCAGGGCCATTAAATGAGTGAATCAAAGTTCATCTTCTATTGCCTTCTTGTGGGATTACCTGTTGAAGTTTATATTTCTAAACTTAGAAAGTTAAGGTTCAATAAATCTAAATGAAAATCATATCTCTGATAGTACAAGATTTAGGCTTCATTTGGAACGGCTTTTTTATTGCTTCTTAAATAAACTTTCTAGTTAAAAAATTAAAAATTTTGTACTAAAAAGCTATTTTAAGAAGCAGTAAGAAAGCCGTCCCAGACGAAACCTTATTGGATTAAATGTTAATGAATGAATTTTCTGTGCTCTCTCAGACCTTTTTTTTTGGTTATTCATTTGATGTGTTCATTTTTCTTGGCTACCTATTCACCTCTTCTATTTCCTCTGTGCTTGTTTGTCAGGTGAATCTAAGGAGCCTTTAAGTTTTATGATGAGGTTACGCATAGCCTTGGAAACTGCTAGGGGTATTCTTTATCTACATACTGAAGCAGATCCTCCGATATTCCACCGTGACATAAAAGCAAGCAACATACTTTTGGACTCCAGGTATACTGCCAAAGTTTCTGATTTTGGAATCTCACGTCTTGCTCCAGTATCAAATGTCGAAGGGGTTTCACCTGATTATGTGTCAACTGTGGTTAAGGGCACTCCGGTAAGCATTTGAGTTTTGCTTTGCAAAGAATTTTTTACCGTTGGAGATCATTAGTAAGGACAGGAATACGGTGTATTCTCTTTCATGCTGAAATGCTCGAGACATTCTTCCTCATAGATCTCTTTGCACGAGAACGTTGCATTGTTATTTGAATTTTGAATAATTTAAAACAGAAATTATGCCTTTTTTATAAGATGAAATAAGTAGGGCTAAAAGTAACATTCAGAAAATTTTTATGGTATTAATAAGTTGCAGCCATAGCTATCTCTTTGTCCAACTTCCTTGCAATTGTTATTAAGAAATTCTAGATGCATTTTCTGTGGTCCCTATTATGTAGGCTTTCCATTCATTATCTATGTCATTTCTCATGTGAAACCTTATACATGGCCACTTGTTTTTCTTACTTAATACTGTTCAGTTACTGGCAATCTTGCTCATTTTGAACCTAAAAATTTATAAATATGCAGCTGATGCTTTATGTTGCGAATCTTTATTGAATTTATTTTTGTGGCTATATTTCAGTTTTCGTCACTCATTTGTGACATAACTAGTCTTTGGTTAATTATTGTTTATTTATGGAAACATCCTCTCTGTAAAATCAGGGGTAAGGTTGTGCACATCAACCCATCACTAGATCGGAATTGGTGGGAGATTCAAGCACCGCTTATGCCTTCTATTTTGTGTTGAAGTACTCTATTTAATCCTAATTTTGTTAGATTTAGAGAAGTTTTTTATTCTTCATCCCAATTTTATTTATAAACCATTTTATTTATGGGTTTATGCTTCTACCTGTAATCTGAACTTCAAATTTATGATTAATATATTTTTACTACTAGAATGAATTACAGTAGATTTGTCATTGAAGGAATTGAATGCATAATCATTGCTCATATCATTATACTTGCACACTAACCAAGAAAGGATAGGTATAATCATTAGAAGAAGTATTCAAAAGTCATTCATTATTAGCTAAATGTGATTAAATTGTTGTGATCTATTTGTTATTTTTTTTGTTGCTGGTGTTGCCTTACAACTCAAAATACGTGCCAAAAGGACGAAAATGGCGAATCAAGCAGCTCACGGGTTAGCGCGACGCATTACTTAAAAGGTCAAATGACCTCCGAATGCCAAATAGACAGCGGCATTGCGATCAAAACATCGAATTCTGCTAGGTCAAGGCCACTCGCAGTCCAATCGGATAAGATCGGTCAAAAGAGATAACCAACACCCGAAATTAAACCGCGATGCTGATCAAACGACGTCGGATCGACAAACAGACTTCGTCGTTGCATCCAAAACACTGTCAACCTCTAAAATCTATATTTTTATTCAATTTGTACCATCCATATTGGTGGCACGGATCCCGAGGCAACAACACAAATTTCGAGGAAAATCGACCTTGATGATGTCTAAATGATATCCGTTTGCAAAACGGATTTTGCCATTGCGACCGGAATATCGTGAATACTCAAGAACTATATTTTCTATTTTTAATTTGAATCATCCGGATTGGTAAAACGAATTTCGAGATAAAATACACATATTGAGGAGAATAGGCCTCGACACTGCCCAAGCGAAGTCTGATTACGAAATGAACTTCGTCTCTGTGTTAAGAACATCCTAAATACCTCAGGATGATAGCCAATTTATTCAAATTAAAACATGCGAGGGGGTTGACACGCATCTCGAGGAAAAAGCACGAATTTCAAGGAAAAGGTTGTTCGGCACTTCCAAATGACATCCGATTGATGAACGGACTTTGTTGTTGTGTCCAGAACATCGTCAATACTCTAAATACACTACCAATTTGTTTAATTAAAGTTATGTATGCAAATCGAGGCGGTTCTAAAGTGACAACTCCCATTTTGAGAAAATTAGGCCTCTGCTTTCCCCAAACAAAGTCTGGTCATGAAACGGCTATTCTAATTTCGATATTTGGCAAATTTCACACGTTAAACGAGGGAATATGCACACAAAACAAGGCAGTGCACACAAACTAAGAAAATTATATGCAAATTGATATAATTTTTTGTCAGTGGAGCTTTTTTGGTCATGGGAGTCTAAGTACAACGCTTATTAATTGTTGTTACCTTATTAAAGAAATTAAAAGAGAGATATTAGAAGTCAAAATAAAAAAAATCAGAAAACATCTTCATGCAAACATCGTATAACCGACTTTTTGCTCCTGTTCAAATCCCATTCGATTGATGAACGGACTTTGTTGTTGTGTCCAGAACACCGTCAATACTCTAAATACACTACCAATTTTTTAATTAAAGTTATGTACGCAAATCGAAGCGGTTCTAAAGTGACAACTCCCATTTTGAGAAAATTAGGCCTCGGCTTTCCCCAAACAAAGTCTGGTCATGAAACGGCTATTCTAATTTCGATATTTGGCAAATTTCACACGTTAAACGAGGGAGCATGCACACAAAACAAGGCAGTGCACACAAACTAAGAAAATTATATGCAAATTGATATAATTTTTTGTCAATGGAGCTTTTTTGGTCATTTTGGAGTCTAAGTACAACGTTTATTAATTGTTGTTAATTTATTAAAGAAATTAAAAGAGAGATATTAGAAGTCAAAATAAAAAAAAATCAGAAAACATCTTCATGCAAACATCGTATAACCGACTTTTTGCTCCTGTTCAAATCCCATGATTTGTGTCATTAATTCGTCCTCTTGACTAGCTGGCCTTTGTTCATTTTTAAATCAAAAAAGAAACGAAGCATTCAAGACTTCGATTCTCTGCTTCACTCCCAAGCATACGAGAGCTACAGTCCCCATTCAAAAACTCCCATTTCAAGATTTCCTTATCGTCTTCCTCCCTCTTCAACCGAGAATTCCTTACATTATCCACTGAGCCTCACTTACAGATCCCTCTTTGTACACGCCTTCTGTCCGCTAGTACGAGTGTTGCGGATCCGGTGGCGAACAGGTGAGTTAATTTTTTTTATTTTATACGGCAGGTCAACAACTTCAAACAACCAACCTTCGATCAGGATTTTGTCGATGTTCTGGTCATAACAACGCAGTCCATTTAATGATTGGACTTTGTTTGGGCAACACTGATGCCTAATTTCCTCAAAATGCATGTTGTCGCTATGGAACCACCTTAATTTGTGTGCATAACCTCAATTGAACTAATTGGTAGTGTATTTAGAGTATTGACGATATTTTGAACACAACGATGAAGTCCATTAGTCAATCAGACGTCATTTGAGTAGCGCTGAACGACCTTTTCATTGAAATTTGTGATTTGCCTTGGGATACGTATCGAAGAATTTGGATGAAGATTGTGCGAATTATAGAGGGATACGTATCGAAGAATTTGTATTTAAATTTAGAATTTTTTGTATTTAAATTTTTTACTTATTTAATATATAAAAACTAAATTTCTTATTTCTGATCCACAACACCAAATCAATTTCCCGCACTTAATACCCCATTCATCGAATATTCTCATTTTCATTTCTCTTTGGCGGGTTACAACTTTGTTGATCTTAACATCGACGACTGCGTCATTATAACATCAACATTTCAAAATCATATCCATATCAAAGTCTGACACGGTCTTTAGATTGATGCTTAATGCTAGAGTTTCTACACCCACAACTTGACATCTCATACTTGTCCAACGTCATCTCAACATCGACGACCAACGCCCTTTCAACATCAATGATAAACGTCCGCTTAACATTAACATCCAATATTTACTGCATAACATAAATGCCTGACTCTAGCCAGCATTGTCATCTCCGCTCTCGATGCTGATAAACATCACCAACGCCCGACTCTCGACGTCCTAATATTAATCAATTTAAGCACAAATTCCAATTAAATGATTTATTATTTCTATTTTTTTTTTTAATTATACTTATTCAATTTTATACACTATTTTTTTAAATATAAAAATTATAATGTCGTGTCTAACCCGTGTCCATGTCACATGGTTTAAAATTGCGCAATATGAGGCTCGCCTTGAGGCCCGCCTTTGCGCAATTCCAGTAAAAAACGCCTCGATGCTTACGCCTTGAGCTTTTTTTTTTTAGTCTTGCGCCCAACTTGGTTGAGGCCCGCCTTGCCTCACTGGCATGAGGCTTACGCCTCACGCTATATATATTAAAACTTACATAAATCTTGAAGTAAATGCCCGACATTGGACTCTATAGGAGAGGAGGAAGGGGAGAGAGCAGTTCACTATAATGATGATTCAAATGAAGAACCCCTTAGTGATGACAGTGCTGATGACTTATGAGTCCTTATGTGATATGTCATTGCTATTTATTTTTGCTTGATGTTGTAGTAAGTGATTATTTGCTTATATTTTTGTGGTTGTACTAGATATTTTGTACTAAATATTTATATTATAAGCTAGACAAGTTATCATGTCATTCATTTATTATTGTTTATCATTTTTAATATGATGTTACATTAATATCTATACACTATATAAAAAAATGTAATGTCGTGTCCGCGTCGAACCCGTGTCCTATATTTTCAAAAAAAAAAACCGTGTCCCGTATCCGTGTCGTGTCGTGTCCGTGTCGCCGTGTCCGTGTCTGTGCATCATAGAAGGTCTTTTGACTAAGGTTACCCTATTTTGGTTGAATTACATCAAGGATTAGCCTTAAGCCCATATCTTTTTGCTTTAGTCATGTATGTTCTCACTAGACATTTGCAAGAGGATGTACCTTGGCGTATGTTTTTTGTTGATAATATTCTTCTCGTTGATAAGGCTAAAGAAGGAGTTAAAGGTAAACATGAATTATGGAGGTCAACCTTAGAGTTTAAAGGTTTTCGCTTGAGTAGATCTATAGCTGAATATATCAAGTGTAATTTTAGTAAATAATAGACCTACTGAGGGAATGGTGACTTTGGACGATCAAATCATTAATAAGAGTACATGTTTTAGATATTTTGAATCTATTGTTCAGAGTGATGGTGAAATAGATGGGGATATTATCAGCAGAATTCAAGTTGGATGGTTTAAGTGGAGGAATGCATCAGGCTTGTTATGTGAT